GGAGGCTGAGATCTGAGGATCACTGTTCAAAGCCAGCCTGGGCAGGAAAGTCAGTGAGACTCTTATCTCAAATAAACCACTAGAAAATCAGAAGTGGCGCTGTGGCTCAAGTGGTAGAGCATTTGCCTTGAGCTGAAGAACTGAGGGACAGCACCCAAGCCCAGAGTTCAAGCCCCATGACCGACAAAAAAAAACAACACCATTAATCTAGGTACTTCTTTGAAAGGACTTTGCAGAGGTAATAAAGAAAGTCCCAAATCACAATATTATCCAGTAGGCTTGAACTAATCAGGCAAGCTTCATAGAAGTACAGATTGGAGATGCATTCTACCTGCCCTGATGGGAAGTTAACATTCATGCTGGGGCTTTCCTATGCAAGATACAATCTGAAAAGAAATGGTGATTTCTAGATGCTGAAGAAGCCCCTGGCTGACAACCAAGAAGAGAAAAGGGACCCCAGTCCAACAAGTTCAAGGCTGGTTTCTGTCAACAGCCAGTGAGCTTGGGGAAGACCTACAAGCCCTAGCTAAAACACATTGCCCAAGCCAAGTGCTTCTGGCTCATGCTTGTAAATCCTAGCTGCTCAGGAGACTGAGATCAAAAGACTGTGGTTCAGTAATCACTACCTTACTTATGTAAATGTAACCCCTCTGAACATCTCCTTGACAATAAAATTAAAAAGAATTCTACATAATCACTGCAGAAATTATAAAAAATGAAACAGGTTGTAAAAAAAGAGAGAGAGATTGTGGTTCAAAGCCAGCCCAGGCAGACAACTCTGAGAGACTCCTATCTCCAATTAACTGGCAAAAATCCTGAAGTGGAAATGTGGCTCAAGTGGTGAAAAAAAATGAGACCCTGAACAGAGAATCATTCACCTCATATCTAAAATTCTGACCTACTTTTGTTGGTCAGACAGACTTGTAATATAATTTGTATTGTTTCAAGCCACTAAATTTATTATCATGATATGTAGCAATAGAAATTACAGGAAAGAAATGCAAAAAAAATTAAAACATAGCTGGGAATGTGGCTCAGTGATAGAATGCTTGCCTAGCCTGCATGAAGCCCTGGGTTCCATTCCTCAATACCACATACACAGTAAAAAGCCAGAAGTGGCACTGTGGCTTAAGTGGTAGAGTGCTAGCTTTGAACAAAACAACAACAGCAGCAAAAAAGCTCAGGGACAGCACCCAGGCCCTGAGTTCAAGCCCCAGGACCAGAAAAAAAATTTAAACATATACATTTATTATATTACAAGACAGTATGTCCAAATCCAAGGCAGCTACAGGGAAAGATTTTTGTCACTGACAAAGTCAGTCCAAAGTATTCACCAATCAAGAAACAAAATTAAATAATCCCCCCCCAAAAAAAATAATCAGTTGACTGGTAATGACAAACGTGGACTTAAGGGAAGGTATTGTTTTGTGACTTATCACCTGGCTGAAAGGACAAGGCTAACTTCCTTATCCCAAGAGGCAACAGGTTTGGGGTTTCCCAGTCTAGCTTGAGTGATTAGAGATAAAGATTGGGTAATGTCCAGGCTTAACTTTGACACAAGTTTCAAGTGTCCCAACAGGACCTTTGACTTGCAGACTTGCCAAGTCTCCCTAGAGAATTAGGCAGACGATTTTAGGACCTGGCCTGGCAACCTAAAATCTAGTATTGATTAAAAGAGAAGGGAGAGCCTGTATTAAAGTCTGATTTTATCCTCTTCCAGGTTGACATTTTTGCAGTTCCTTACCTGCAACTGCGTCTGTGAAATGGGGATAAGAGTTATGAGGATGCCTATAAATCACTAATGCATTATGAAACCTAGCTTTTAGCCAGGCCTCTGCAATGGCAGTTATTACTGCTTTGAATGCTGACTGGGATCTTCCACTGAAACTCTAATGCTGGGCTTTTTTTTTTTTTATCACATTGAATGCCCAATATTGTGGGCATTCAATAGAATAGAAAGCTGAGTACATCTTGGTCCCTTATTTCCGAGCCCTGAATATCTACTTAATGACTGACCATTCCAGCTAGGAACAGTGGCTATAAGGCCATGTCCGTCAGCCCATTACAAACTCAAAGTAGTTCACGCTTCCCTGGCCCCATTCATCCCCATGCTTTCTTTTTTCCTTGTCATGTGAATTGTGCTAGTGATATACACCAACTGGCTAGAGTTTCATTAAATAAAACCAAGGACAATGTAGTAAAATGACCAGATGAAGTGAGTCTATACAAAGCAGTAAGTTTCTGAAAACAGATGAAATGATCACTATTTTTTAGAGATAGTTTCATGAGTCTAAGTTTATGTCCATCATTCATTAAGCTGGGAGGAGGGTCATTTAACCAGCTTTGATGGCAGAATAATAAAGCAGTCAAAGACATATACCATTTATAATCGCATCTATACTCAATAGACTAAATAGATTCTTCTTTTTGAGCCTTGCTAAGTGAGGTAATTTAAAATTATATCAAATTGCATCCAAGGAAGTGGTGCTACTATTTTTCTCATTTGTGAGAGTGACTGTCTATTCTATGGATTTGCAAATTGGCTAATTGCCTGGAATATTTAATAAGAAAACTGCTGTTCCAGTAATTCTGTTACGGTTTTGGATTAAAATCAATGGATTTGGCTGAGTGGATTTAACTAACATAAGCAAGTATCTGTCATATTTTATATGAGAAACCTGCTTATTTTTTAACTCACATTTTGAAAAGGAAAGCTACAGCAAAATGTCTACAATTCCTTACATTCGGCAAGAGATTCCTTCACTAGTATGTAAGATCCAGGAAGTGAAGTGTCTTTGCAACTCTGGTGCCTAGAATAGTGTCTGGCAAAGACACAGGCACTTAATACTTACCAGGTGACGTCTAAATAAATGAACTCAATGACTTAATGAAATGAATTAGCAAGTGGCTAGATACTGTTGTTTATTAACTAAATTCTGAAATAGTCAATGTAAACATGACTACATTGTCAAAAATAAGCAAGAAGCCATATATATATATATATATGGCTTCATATATATATACACATATATATGTGTGTATATATATATGTGCATATATGTGTGTGTGTGTGTGTATATATATATATATATATATATATATATATAATGTTAGCTACTCAGGAGCCTGAGGATCACAGTTCCTTACCCTGGTAAGAAAGAGCCCATGAGACTTTTCTCCAATTAACCACAGAAAGCCACAAGTAGAGCTATGGCTCAAGTGGTGGAGCACTAGCTGTAGCAAAAAGAACTCAGGGACAGCACCAGGCCCTGAGTTCAAGCCCTAATATCAGCACAAAAGAATGAGGAGGAGGAAGAGGAAGAGGAGGATGGGGGGGAAGAGGGGGAGGTGAGGTTCCATGGTCACATTTCATTGCAATTACTAGATATGCTGGAATAGGAGGATTGCCAGTGTTAAGTAGAATCTATCTCCACAAAGTTTTCATTCGTGAATGGAAATTTCCAGGCTCTTTTTATAAATCATTTTATGATGGCTCATTTGTGAGAAGCAACTCTTGTCTCGGTGAGTATGTGGCAACAGTGCCATCTTCTGGGAGAACTGGTCAGACATTTTAGAATAACATTCTGTAGTCTGGGTTCTTTTCCTATAACAAATTAAATATTGAATCATAGAAAATATTATATTGGAAATATCTTTAGGAATCATCTAGGCCATAATGTCATCTGATAGGCCACGATTTTCCTTACATAGCAACCATGTTTTCTTCCTCTTGATGTAAGGGGACCTTAAAGTCATCTCTCAGAGATTATTCATACTCTTTTTTTTTATTTTAATTTTATTCATACTCTTAACTATAAAAATTAAACCATATCACAGGTTTCCTATAAATCTGAAACTGAGAAGCAGTTAAACTTCATGTTCTGAGTGCCTAAAGAATGCTTTGTAAATAGCAGTTGTTATAATGATCTGTCTCTAGTTATGTATGGTTATCAAATACTCTAGAAGTGTGGCTAAATACAGGAACTGGCTATTTTATCACATTGTCATTAACTCAAAATTATAGCACATGTAGGTAGTGTAAGGTTTCTTGACCTAAGCATTATTTATATTTTGAGCTAGATACCTGTTAGATACCAATAGCATACTCTCTTTTTCTTATTTACTTAATTTATTTTTGCTGGTCAAGGGCTTGAACTCAGGGCCTGGGCACTGTCCCTGAGTCTCTTTGTCCTCAAGACCACTGCTCTACCACATGAGTCACCACTCCACTTCTGGCTTCTTGTGGCTACTTGGAGGGAAGTCTCATGGATTCTTCCTGCCCAGACTGGCTTTGAACTGTGATCCTCAGATCTCTGCCTCCTGACTAGCTAAGATTATAGGCATGAGCCACCAAAGCCCAGCTTCTCCCTTTTAATGGTCAAAAACATAACCTGAGGAGGAAAGGGCAAAAATTACCTACACTTCAGAACCACTGGTCTAGTGACTAATGTATTTTAGACAATTTTTAAAATACTCTTTTGATTCACACAAAGTACTTGCCTCTATGCTCTATAAAGGAAGTAGTTTTGTCATAAAACCAATAAATATTAGGAAAATACATGTGATCACAAAATGTCTTTCTTCTTTATTCTGCTTCCATGTCGTAGAGATGAAGCCAGGATAGTAATATTAGAAAATTCTGCTCAGTCAAAACTCTCCAGTGTAACAGCAGAAAACCTTTATGGCATCTGGTTTCTCTATCATTGATGTGGGTAACTAAACATATTGATCACACTGGGTCTCAGTGTATTATCTGGAAAAGGTAGCAAATAGCACCCACCTAGCAGGTTTGCTATCAGGACTAAATTAAATGATACCCAAAGTGTTCCTTGCTTAGTGCTTGTTCAATATGTAGTAGATGTTCAATAGTTGTTATTTTAAACATTTTCTGCCCAAGCAGAAAATGCTTTGTAACCCACAATACTGAGTATCACTGTGTTTCCATTACAAATGCAAATCCATTAAAACAAACTAGCCAGGTTGGTTTAAGTCTAGTTTTATTTTAAGTTCTGGACACAGATTTTAGTACTGTTGTCCAGCAAAGCATTTTCTTGACACGATTAAGCGTGCAAGAGGTACTCTTTCAGCTCTTCAGGGAGGAAGAGAGAACCTATCTTGTAATGCTGATGGCTACGAAAGCATTTCCGAATTCGCAGTCGGCACAGTTGCATTAAAGAAGGAGGCCCTGGAGAAAGACCATAAAACAAGTAAGTCATGCACTCACATCAGTGATGGAAGACTCTATCTTTTTTTAAGCATACAGTATACAACATTGTTATAAGGAAATACGTTTAAGAGGGTTTCTAGTGGGTTTTTTCCATCTTCTTTCCTGATATCTAAGTGAAGTAAGCTCATTGGATTTTAATTTAGAACAAAATGAAAGACAGTTAAGACTTAGCCTTACTAACAGAGGATTAAGGAAAAACTAACTTGGGAATTGCACAGCTACACAAAACTTCTTATAATGAAAAATATCTGCTTAATGATTTTCTCCTCTTTTATCTTAAAAACTACAGTCATATTTCTAGAGGTAAGCATGTTTCTTTTGTCTTCTTAGGAATTTTAAGATGTTTAAAGACAGTAAGCCCTCAGTGAATCAAAAGTGTATGCCATCAAGTCATATCTGCTTTTACATATTATGTTCAGAGCTTCGGCTTATGGGTGAAAGGTGAACCAGTCTAAACTTTCCCATAGGGAACACCCAAAAGTTTTACACTTTAGGATGATGGCTGTCACCAAACGGAAGGTCGAGGTTAGAGGGGAAAATCAGAGAAAAGATTTTTCTCTCCAGAGTACTTTGGACACTGAAGTATTTGGGGATGTCAGAACTTAGGGGGAGCTGTTACTGACATCTCATGGGTAGAGGGCCAGGATATGACTCTCCAGTGTACAAGAAAGTCTCAACTGGCCCAAACTCTCAATAATGCTAAGATCGAGAAACCCCATTATAGGGTGAAAAGATAGCCAGTGCTTTTTCCCCCTTACTTCCACCCCTTGTATCAAATTATAATGGAGATTCTCTTTTAGTTTTTAGGTGTGTGTGTGTGTGTGTGTGTGTGTGTGTGTGTGTGTTTTAAGAACACTATAAGCCAGGTGCCAGTACCAGTGCCTCACACTTGTAATCCTAGCTACTCAAGTAGCTGAGATCTGAGGATATAGGCTCAAAGCCAAGCTCAGGTCAGAAGAAGAGGTATTGCTCAAGTGGTAGAAGGCAAGCCTTGAACAAAAACCACTATGTAAGAGTAGGAGGCCCTGAGTTACAGACACAGACACAGACACAAGAAGAATACCTTAAATTGGTGGCCCATAATCTAGGCTGCAATTCAGAATTGTTGAGTCCTACCCTAGCAATATTGCTTCGCTCATTGTTGGCTCAGCCTGTGTATATAGATTTTGTTAAATGCACAGGCCCCATATCGTTCTTTGGAGTGGGAGAATACAATCAAGCAGATACTGTGACCTCTGTTCTCCACAAGCATCACCACAAGCCACAAGGAGTTATGTATCTCTTGGGTAAAAGAGAAATGACCATCCGTCTCCATCTCTAACAGCACTTTCAGAAGGGCTTTATTGGAATTTAGGACACCTTTCAAATTCTGCCCAATGTGCTCAAGGCATACTAAAGCACTACCAGAAAGTGCACTATGTGGAAACAATGTTACCAAACCTTACTGAGTAATTGTGAAAGATGTGACTAATGCTATGTCATGGGCGACTGTAGGAGGTACTGATAAAGCATTATGAAGAACAAGACTTCCCAGCAAGCCCTATAGAGCAGAAAAGTAAGGTGTCAGTTTAAGCTCACTGTAACTATTGATGCCAAGTGAATAGCTAATGGTGACTATGAGAAAGAGTAGTGTGTAACAAGTACATCTCTAAATGCATGTGAACCCACAGCTGAACAGCCACAGTAGCTTTGCAGCCACTTGCTGGCACCTGCAAGCATGAGGTTACTCTACTCTATAATAAGATTGGGAATTATATTTGTATGTATTGATCTATTCCTATGGATCTTGATTTCTTTTTTCTCCCAATGTAACATTCATGATGCTTCAAGGCCAAAAATACTTTCAGTGGGGAGAGGCTCTGCTGGGTAAAGCTGGCCAGAAAGGGATTTTTAGCTTTCATGTGTGCCATGAGCAAATACAAGTTTCATTGGTTCTTAAAGATGGGCGAATATTCTGGAAATCTTTCCCTTTTCCCCTCTAGAGAAGGGCAAACATCTTTCCAAATGATCATGTAAAGCCTAATGTAGAACATGGTTGCATTTTTACCTGACAATATCGAGTCACCACACCACTGAAAGAGGAAAATAATCTCATTGAGTCACTTCCTTGGGCACAAAGAAACAATTGGGCTACATTGGGAAGGACACCCAGAGCCAGGAACCACTGCACTGTAAATGCAGGTCTGACTTCCTGTGCTTGCTTGGAACCGTTTCCGGTGGGCTTCCAGCCTGCTGAGAAACTCACTCAGATCCCCAAAGTGACTAACAGTGGTACAGCAAGCAGCAATTTTCTCCTGAGGCAAATCACTCTCTTTTTCTTTTCGTTCCTTTTGTTTTCTTGTCAGTGGTAGGGAATCAACTCCAAGACCTCACTCATGTTAAACATGCACACTCTATTGGTGAATTATACGCCCTGAGCCCTAAATTATACTTTATAAACCAGTAGGATCCTTGGCCACACCATCACTATGCAAAATGTCATGTAAAGGAATTAAAAGTAACCTGGGTTTCTAGAAATAGCTCTGGGAAATGAAGTGGAAAGTAAAAAAGCCAGTGAAGGCAATTTAAAAATCTTATGAGACTATGAAAGGGGGGGGTATATACATCCTATGTTATGACTTTAGGAGGTCTTAAGACACATTTGCCTTGCAGATAACTTCCCCCAATAAAACGTATTTTAAAAATTGTGTTTTACAAATGTGTTGGTATAAAAAAATAAAATCCAGGGGCTGGGAAGGTGGCTCAGTGGTAGAGCGCTTGCCTTGCAAGCATGAGGCCCTGGGTTTGATTCCTCAGCACCACATAAGCAAAAAGAAAAAAAAGCCAGAAGTGGCGCTGTGGCTCAAGTGGTAGAGCACTAGCCTTGAGCTGAAGAGCTGAGGGACAGCCCCCAGGCCCAGAGTTCAGGCTCCACGACAGAACCCCAAAATAAATAAATAAATAAATAAATAAAATAAAATCCGGGGTGAGTTTTAGTCATTTTCTGTTCCTTTTGATTTTAAAAGAAATTAAGACATTTCTATGGGCCCTGAAACAGAAGAAATGAGACCCTTAGGCAGACAGACAGACAGATAGCATTTTGGGGTTGTGTGCTAGAATGGTGGTTTAATCTCAGTGCCTCACGCTTTCACTTGGCTGGCTTGTTCATGGCTGGCACTTTACCACTTAAACCAGGCTTCAGCCTGGTTACTGGAGATAGATGCTCATGATTTTTCTGCCTAGAGCTAGCTCCAAACCATGATCCTCTGTTGTCAGTCTCTTGAGTAGCTAAGATTGCAGCCATGAACTGCCTATAAAATACCTTATTATTTTTTTGCAAAAAAAAGAGAAATCAACCAAATGTCAATATAATTGTCCAGTGGTCATAGCACTGTTTCTCATGAAGAGATCTCTCCAATGGACTATTCCTTTTGCTAGCCTGCTGGCACTGCTCGAGAGGTTCAAGTCACCACAAGTACCCTGAAGCAGGAGAAGGAGGAAGAATTCTTTGTCCTAGTTTACAGTTCTGCCCAGAGCCAATTCTGTATCTCAACATATGGGGAGAGAATAAGCAGATAGGATGAAATCAGACTTCTTCTGAAAGGGAGACCAGCTTCAAAGTCCCACCACCCTATCACAGTCAATGCTCTAGAAAGCAAGCATGTACTAACATGGTTGCTGAAACATGTACAGACAATTAATATTGCAATCAAGTCTCTCCACCAACCAAGGAGTCTTTGCGCCCTCAATCCCAGCCCACATTCCAGAAAACTACCCTCTCTTTCATGCACATGGCTCAACCACAATGTTTAGTTTCTTGGGCCAAGGATATCCATTCTAATTTATGAAGGAGTATGTGCTTTCCACTGATTGGTGAGAATCCCTACAATCTGATTGTTTTTTGTCAGTCGTGGGGCTTGAACTCTGGGCCTGCATGCTGTCCCTCAGCTCTTCAGCTCCAGGCTAGCACTCTACCACCTGAGCCACAGCACCACTTCTGGTTTTCTGGTGGTTTATTGGAGATAAGAATCTCATGGACTTTCCTACCTTTGCTGGCTTTGAACCACAATCCTCAGATCTCAGCCTCCTGAGTAGCTAGGATTACAACATGAGCCACTGGCACCCAGCTACTTAACTGAATTTTAACCACAGAAATGTGTAGTAATTTAGCTCATCCATAGAACAACAAGACAGCCTTGAATACTGGACAGCAGAAAAATACTTTTGCTGTGTTATTCTCAAAAGTACTTCAGAAACATTAGTTTTGTGTTTGTCAGTACTGGGCATACCCTTAGCTTATGTGTTCAAGGCTGGCACTCTACCACAGTTCCACTTCCAGCTTTTTGCTGGCTAACTGGAGATAACAGTCTCACAAACTTTGCTGCCCAGGCTGGCATCAAACCATGAGCCTCAGATCTCAGCCTCTAAAAGTATGATTATAGATGTGAGCTACCAGCAAGCCAGCTTAAAATTAAAATTTTAAATAACATTTTAATCCTTTAAAAAAAAACCTGGCTTACCCCCATATGAATATTACATCATCCAAACAGTCCATCTCCAATGTACCAAACAGCAGTAAGGCTCTCTACTTCATGACCAGTACTGTACCATATTGAATAGTAAATAGACTCAGCTTGTAAACATCTGGTGATGGACAGAGAGTGATTTTGTATAGGACTGGAGACTCAGTAAGTACTTGCCTCCTACTAGAGTACAAAGTGATGTCTAGACATTAAGGATTAGATTTGGGCAAAGGAGAAGCACCTTCTCGCTCCATGAATATCTGGGTCACAGGACTTTCCGGAGACACTAGATCTACTGGACGTTTGCCATCGATGTCCTTGGCGTGCATGTCAGCTCCGAAATCGATAAGCAAACATGCCATCTTGTCATTGGACCCTCTGGCCACAACATGGAGCGGGGAATCCAGTCCTTTGCCGAGGTTGACATTGGCTCCTAAAGTCAGAAGAACAAAAGGGGATCAGTGAAGTATTAGAGTCCCACCATCCTTCTCAAAGCCTGAGCGTCAAGCTTCCCTAACAACAGGGATCCATGGTGAGTATGGCAATTCTGTGAAAACAGGAAATAACTAAATAACCGGAATGCCTTGGGTAATATAAGGAAAATGCCATTTAACAATGGGACTGAAAGTACATCAATATGAGATAATATAGCATAGGGAAGTAAAAAAAAATCACCACTGAGAATTAAAAACATTCACATTTTATATATATATATATATACATATATATATATGTATATTTATATAATCCTGGCATCATCAAAGCTGCACATTCATTAGTAATAGAGAGTCTAAGTATTAGCCAGTACCGACTGCGAATGTTAAAATGATGAAATCCTGAATACATTAAGAGCAGCTGGAATCAGTTCTAGGACTTCAGACTTTGTGATTTGGGCTGTGAAGCATAACCACCTCTTCTACACGGAATTTCTAATCCCAAGATCACTGGGAAGGTGGCCAAGTTCTTGTCTTCAGATGTAAGGTAGAACTGTGAGAGCCATCCTCATCCCAATTCCACCCCTACACTCTTAGTATGTTGCTGCCAAACTCAGAGCTTAGTGTCACTGGGAAACGTGGGGGCCTGTGGCATTGCCTGAGCTACTCTTGCTGCAGCAAAATACGAATGTGTTGACTCCAGAAATGTTAACTGAATTGGTCTTATGCTGTTGTTGAGTTTGTGAGGAATGCCAAACATGGAGATTTCCTGGCTAGGGGTTTTAAAATGGCTAAGAGCTTCCAATCTACTTGGTGATAGAAAGTGGGGGTGGGGGGAGGAAAAGAGAAGTAGAGAGAATGGGAGAACTAGTAAATTACTGCAAGGCATTAAGTACTCTAAGACGAGTTGGGATAGAGTTTGGATTCTTGACGATTGAACGGAGTTTATATACAGAAAGAGGTGATCAAATGGTATTAAGAAAGGTGCTGGAAATCCTAGGAACATGAAAGGGAATAAGGAAAAGGTAACTATTTAAAACAAGCTAAAAAATGGTATACCCTCAATTTCCCTAGTTAAAGAGAACTGGAGAGTCCCAAACAGGAAAAAACCACCCAGATCCAGCAGCTTTGCAAGATAGCAAGATTGCAAGAGACAGAGGCAAGAGGAAAGGGAAGAGAAACTAATGATCATTGAGGACTACCCTGGGAAAGTATCATCATCATCATCATCATCATCATCATCACCCTAGTTACAAGTGAGTGAACTAAGCTTCTGTTAAAACAAACAAACAACTTCTTAAGAGCACAGTCTGCAAACTCTGATTAGGTCCAACTTCATTGCCCATACTCTTTCCTCCACTACAATACAAAGGTCTTAACATACATTTCATTTGTTTTTCTTTCCTTGCTTTGTTTTTTTGTCTTACCTGACTGGAGAAGCCTCTTGGCGCAGTCCACATGTTGGTGTTTACAAGCTTGGTAAAGAGGTGTGCCAAGGTGGTTGATGTTATGGTCAATATCACCCCCATAAGTTATCAGTGACTCGATGCATTCTAAGTGCCCTGTAACCAGAAATATGAGGGTCAAGTTACAGCACACATTTCTTTAGCTAGAGAAGCAACATTATCTCCATTTCTTGCATGTTTAAATTTGTCAACAGATTCAAGGATCAAAAGTCATTTCCTTGGACTAGGAACTGATTTTAAAGACTGCCCTCAGTGAATGGATTGGTCACAAAATGTGAGCGACAACTGTGAAAGGAACTAGACTGGAGACTAGTGTTCAGAAGAGTTATGGAGGCATGGGGATAAATGTTTCCCTGAAGAAGAAAGGAAAGAGTATAGGCCGCAAAGGACAGGGAAGGAAAGTTAGTTTCACCAAGGTGAGGTCTGGGAGACAGAAGTGACAGCCAATACAGGTAAGGCTTAGAAGAAGATGCTAAATCCAACAAGACCAGTGTCCAATCCAACTGGACTGGGTGGATGAAAACTCTATTATTGACCTTGGTCCAAAATATCATAAATTAAGCATTGCTCTTTTATGATTTCTTGTACCAATCCAGTGATAAGTATCCAATATATATGAGTTAGCAAGTTAATGGTTAGGGAGATAAATATCACATGGGTTTATCCAGTCAAATGAAAAGCCAGTCTAGATAATGATGATGATGATGATGATGTTTTGATGATGATAATTATAATGATGGCAAAGACAATGGAGGTAGTGGTGGAGGTGAGAAAACACCAGAGAAAGTGAACTTTGCAATTTTATTTATTTTCCTCACAGTTAAAATTATCAGGAGATCAGTGGCTTTATGAAAAGAATTTCTTAACCCAGAACTCAATATAACATCTAGAGTTTGCCAAATTGAACATTTGTTTCACTTGGCACACTTGGGTGACCCTCAGAAACTTGCTTTAAGGCCTTAAAAATAGAAGAATGGAGGACAAAAACTGGGAGAGAGCGAGGGACAGGGTGACATTGTCCAAAAAGAAATGTACTCACTACCTATTTTATGTAACTGTAACCCCTCTGTACATCGCCTTTATAATAGCAATAGTTTTTTTTTTACTTTTTAAATAGGAGGATGCAATCTGTTGTATAAAATAAACTGATTTCTTTTTGTATATATTTTTATTGTAAAATGCTGTACAGAGGGGTTGCAGTTACATGAGTAAGGTAATGAGTACCTTTCCTATTGAGCATTGTTACCTCCTCCTTTGGTTTTTGTTTTGTTTTGTTTTTTATTGTAAAGATACTGTACAGAGGGGTTACAGTTATATGAGTAAGGTAATGAGTCCATTTCTTATCAAGCATTGTTACCTCCTCCTTTGATTTTCCCCCACCAACCCTTCCCTCCCACCTCCCCAACTCCTCCCTCCCCCCGACATTGTAAATAAAATAACCTGATTTCTGAGGTCCCATGTTCAACAATACATTCAGCAAATGTATTAGATATTCAAGACAAATAGATGATTGATAGGCAACTATGTGTTAAGCCCCATTCCAGAAATGCAGGGGAATTCTCAAGGTTATTTGTATCAGAATTCCCTGGAGGACTTGTTAAAACAAATACATATTTGTTAGGCCACATCCTCCAAATTACTGACTGAATGAAGGAAGCTGGAGTGGGCCCAGTGGTTGGCATCAGTAGACCCTCTCTGTCTTCAGTAGCAGGACCTTGCTTTGAGAACCACTGCTCTCAAAGATGCCTCTTCTTCCCTGTTTCTTGACATTCCATGAAAAACTGAAATGTTCCAACAGATTTACCTCTTTTGGCAGCTTCGTGCATGGGGGATGCCACATCGTTGACAGGGTGCGGGCTGGCCCCATGGCGGAGGAGCAAATCTGCACATTCCCGGCTGCCGTTGACACAAGCGTTATACAGGGGAGTGTGCCAGTCTACGGTGGTACAGTTCACCTGGAGGAAAAACAAAGTTCCAAGATAAAGACAGGCAATGGGTGTCCTGAGTTCAAACTTAAAACTCTTCCACATTTAAGATGGTTCTGTCATTTCTCTGAACCTTTAGTTCCACAGCTAGAAAATGGGAAGGAAAAAGCATCCCAACTTCTAGAAGATTGTTAAAAAATAAAGAAAAAAAACACTTCGAATGAGGTACAGCATGTAAGGCAACAAAAAATGTTAGTGAAGTTTTCTCTAAACCACATCCACTCTGAGATTGTGAACATTGAAAATAACTTAGGATAATTTTCAGAGCTTGAGAACTAATCTCCTGATATTAAACTTTCATCCTCAATCAATCAATCAAGTTTCCTCACAGCAGCCAGAGTAATCTTCTAGAAACTGTGAAAATATAACTTTTTTTAAATTAAAAGCATGACTGTTAATACAAATACACAGTTAACACATGCCCAAAGATCTTGCTCAACTCATTCACTAACAAGCAAATCAATAAGGGAATCAGTAAAATGGTAAACCAGGCTCAAAAGAGAATTTATGTAGTTAGTGGCTAGACTGCAAGAATATATTTTTAATATAAAACTGGTTAGTGTCCTATAAAACTAAACCTATGACCTTTGGGCTTATCTTTCTAATGTGAGAAATCAGACAAATTTATGAGTTAACATCTAATCTCACAAAGTTTAGACTACAGTGGAATAGTAAATAGCAAAGCCAAATGATCATGGACTCCTCTATATTGTTAAATAATTCTGTGGTGACTCAAATGATATTGTAAAATCAATCAACAAGTATAGGACATGAATGTGGCACAAAAGAAGCCCTGGGCACAAACTTCAAGAGCATGCCCACCTTTCAGAGAAGGCTCCAGGAGCCTAGAGTGAGTAGCTTTTTCAAGTTTGCACCCAAGATGCCTCTCTGACTTCACCTTAGCCCTGGCATTGTTTCCATATTTCCCCAACTAGCTAGAAATCTCATGATGGAGTCACCCCCTGGCTCTCTACTAATCGAAAGATTATGTGAAACTGTACTTACCCGAGCTCCATGGCTGAGCAAAAGATTTACACAAGATGAATGGCCTCCAAGACAGGCTTCATGAAGAGGAGACACTTGGTCTGCAGTGATGAGGTTTACAGGCCAACCCTGGCAGAGAGAAATTGTCTGAGTAAGTGAGTACACAGCAACAGTACCCTAGTATTCGTTTTGTTCTAGTAACATAATCCTTCTTTTTTTTATTGTGAAAATACCAGAGGGGTTACAATTACATGGGCAAGGTAATGAGTGCATTTCTTATCAAGCATTGTTGCCTCCTCCTTTGCATAATCCTTCTAAGTGTTGTTTTTTTTATTGCCACAGTGCATGAAGGTGTTGATGGTGATGCAACAAAGAAGCAACCGTCCTGTGCTGCAAGGAAGAGTGTAACATGGTACAACCACTAAAGCAAACAGCTTAGTAGGATCTAGCTTGGTTGATAATGCATGGCCCTACAACTCAGCAATTTTATTCTTAGTTTTATACATTCAAAAAAGACAATTAAATACTTAAGAAGATTTAGAATAGCATTGATGGTGATCACTCCAACAACCCAAATGTCTCTCTACAGTCCATTGGAAAATAAGCTGATTTAATCATTCAGTGCATTGTCACACTAAACAAGTTATAACTGCAAACAACTAGAGGATGGTGGTTGCAAAAATAATGAAGACCCACAACTGACAAATAATAACAATAATAATAATAATAATTATTATTATTACTATGAGCAAAAGAAGTGAAACATCACTGCCTAAATAAAATATATTAACATAATAAATAAAAAATAATAAATAATAATTAAAAATAAAACAAATGATCACATCAGTATAAAATATAAAATTAGACACAAGTAATCACTGTTTCAGACTACATACATATACATAGGAAGTAGGGCCATGGGAAAAAAAAGTAAGGGAATCAGACCAATGATGACTTCCATGGACTAGGGAAAAGACTGGGCTCTGGAGCACACACCAAGGGGAAAGGAGCCATCCATGTGCTGTTTTTCTACTTATTGACCTGGAAGGCAGTCACATGGTCATATTGAAATCATTATTTTGTTAAATTGTACATATCTATTTCTTTTACATTTATCATATTTCTCAATTAAAAACAATGTCAAGTTAGCTGAGCCTAAATTGATAGCAAGTAATTATTAAATTCTAACAAATTAACACGTTATTCTTTCTTGTAGGTCAATTTAAAAGGAAAATTTGAAACTACAAGGGAAAAAATACAATACATACACCTTTTAGGAAGCCCAGATGTACTTTAGTATTTTAGGAAATTAAAATGTATTAAATAATAGAATGGAAGTAGAGGAAAAATGAGGGGGGGTAATAAGTTCAACAAGAAATATACTCCCCAAAACAAGTCGTTAAGGATTCAGGTGGACCTGTTGCAACAATGAGAAGTACAAAATGTCATGTCAAAAACGAGCTTTACAACATCGGTGGGGGGGGAGGGGGGGAAGGATTGGGGGGAAGGGGGGAGGCTGGGAAGGGAAGTGAAGGGTAAACAAAGGAGGAGGCTGCAATGCTTGGTAAGAAATGTATGCATTATCCTGCCCATGTAATTGTAACCCCTCTGTACAGTATGTTCACAAATAAAATTAAATTAAATTAAGAAAAAGAAATATACTCCCTACCTTACTTATGTAACTGTAAACCCTATGTACATCACCTTGACAATAAAATTAAATTTTAAATTAAAAAAAAGATTTTAAAAAATAATCAAAAAGTAAACAACAGCTGGGCACTGGTGGCTCACGCCTTGAAATCCTACCCCCTTCAGGAGGCTGAGATCTGAGGATCATGGTTCAAAGCCAGCCCAGGCAGGAAAATCCATAAGACTCTTATCTCCAATTAACCACCAGAAAACCAGCAGTGGCATATGGCTCAAGTGGTAGAGTGTTTGCCTTGAGTGAAGAGCTCAGGGACAGCACCCAAGCCCAAAGTTCAACACCCATGACCGACAAAAAATAAAAACAAACTCTGGGCCAGGTACAGTATCAGTATGATATTTTCCAGATCCATACATTTCCCTGCAAATGATATAATTCCATTCTTCCTGATGACATCTAGGTAATTACTGCAAACATCATTCAGTCTACTGTGGGACCTCAATGCTACTGACATTTTGAACTAGATAATATTTGATGGGAATGTCTGTTACAGAGCTTGGAAGTGGTTTCTAGCCACTAGGTGCCATTATCACCATCACTACAATATGGCAACTAACACTAGGTCCAGAATTTCCAAATGTTCCCCCCTAAGGGCCTAAATTGCTGAAGTTGAATATTACTGTTTTACATGATAACTTTATAGAACAGAGCTGTCTACATAAAGTGAAGGCAACTTGAATGCACTAATTTGTTGGTTGTTCATTTAATAGATATTTACCATAGTATCTATTGTGTGCTTAGATATTTATTAAACTCTGGTATGACGCCAGTTTCTGAAGAAGAAATCAGGTATTTAGGAGGAGATTCACCCCATTTTTCTTTTTGCTTCTTGCTTTTTTTTTCTCATGGGGCTTGAATTCATGTCCCTGTGGCTGAGCTCTTCAGCTCAAGGGGTCCCAAGCACTCTGCCACCTTGAGCTACAATACCCCTTCCAGTTTTCTGGCGTTTAACTGGAGGTAAGAGTCTCATGGACTTTCCTGCCTGGGGTTGGCTTTGAACTGCAATCCTCAGTTCTCAGCCACCAGCATCCGGCTTCACCTCCTTTTTCTTAAGAAGAAATTGATATCTTACTATCAGTCCATGATTTCTTTTGCTCCATTTGGCATAGTCATAAGATGTGCTGAACATTTGCCATTTGTTTTTCAAAAAAAAAAAAAAAGCTACCTGGCTCAGGAGGTTACGCAGGGACAGAAGGCGGCCATGGATCGCAGCATCATGCATTGGGGACCAATCTGACACCACATCTGTATGGAAAGGGTAGACAAGTTACATCCTGCAAAGGCACTGAAACTGTAGGCTCATCCTTGCCTACAGTAAGAGCCTAATGCATCCTGAAGGAAAACTTGACACTCACTCAACCAAACTTGCTTTCAGCATTTCCCCTCTCTGGTGATGTATCTTTCCTTTCCCTTCTGTTTTTTTTTTTCTTTTCTTTCTCCTTTGTGAACACAGGGCCTTGTATTTGGCAAGCGAGAGATCTACCACTTGAGTCATGCCCCGTGTCCTAATGATATTTCTTGTTCAGTTTATTGGAAATGGAACTATCGCAGTGCCCAAACTGAGGATGACAGAGGTAGCCTCAGAAAGCATGGTAAGTGAGCTAAGGCCAGGCACAGAGTATAGTCCCACATGGGAGCACTCAATCAACACTAGTTGATCTCATAGAATTTAAAACAGAATGGTGCCTAGCAGACACAAGGGTGGGGGGACATGGGGGAAGGTGGATTAATGGGCACTAATTTATAGGCAAAAGCAGCCCGGTTGTTTCATCACTTAGTAGGGTAACTCTAGATGAACAGTTACTTACTGTGCATTTCCAAGAGCCTGAAGAAAGGATTTTCAATGTATTCATGGATGGATAATAAAACTGAAAGCACTCATCTTCCCCTTGGCAACCATACCCTACAACACTCCTTGCTGTGACCCCACTGAACCATCTCCCCTCCCCTTCCCTCTGAACAAACCTACCCCGTAGTCTTGGAAGAGAGCTTGAGAGCAAGGCCGCTTCTGGCACTGATGCCCCTGCTGGACACAGATGCTGTTGAAACCTTGAAACTCTTGCTTGCTATCCCATCCTGCCTGTCTGTCCCCACCTCCATCTGCCTCCAACCCCACTTCACTTTTTCTGCCTCAAATAAAGACACTCTAGTTGTAAGGATGGTACGCCATTTCCTCTTCAGTCCTGCTGAAGGAGACTTGGTTGCCCTTCCCAGGTTTTCAGCCTGAATAAAACCTGTTGGTCTGTGGAGTTCATCTTTCTCCTTTTTCTTTCCTTACATTCACCATAAAGATATGGTATCTGAGGAAATAGGTACGTTTAACCTGATATAAACACTACAACATGTATACATGAATCATAACATCATACGCATAAATATGCACAAGTGTTTCGTTGTACCAGTTAGAAATTTAAATTAAGTGTTTTTAAAAAAAACAAAGAGGCAGGTTGGGATGACTGCACTTCCATTTGCACACTGGTTTCAAAGGCAAATGACCCCGTTTGTTAAGTGAGAGCTTCGTTAATTACCAGCATTAGTGTGTTCAGCTGTGGTTGCCAGTCTAGTTTCCTGCTTGAAACAAACTTTGGCATCTCAGCAAACAGTGCCATATACTAATAGTAGTAATCATGTAATTACATACATCATTAGGTTTGGAATCAAATGTAAACTGAATTATATCTATTTATAGATTACTTCATGTCCTGATATTAAGCACAAATCAGAGTTCAATCTGACCTTGAAACAGGAACATTATTAATACCCAAAGGCCACATGCCAATTCAGTTGAAAGCAAGCCCTGGATTCAGACCCACTGGACCTCTTCTGGGCTTTGAGTTCCTCACCGGACTTCTTTTTGGTAAAGTGTGTCCAGTAATATACTTATTCAGAGCTGAATGCATATTAGCTACTAGTATTAGCTTGTCCTGATACTACACAGAGTCTGGATTACACCCTCTAATTTTGGCATTTAAAATAACAGCCATGTAGGAAGAATACAAATTCTCAAGAGAGAATCCTGTAAACCCTATTCCAAACATTAAGTGCTTTCCCTCTGTCCCAATCATTAAAGATAGATAGAACTGAATAAGGACATAAGCCAGACTTTTTTTTCCTCATCTCCTGCTGCCTCTGATTTCCAGAACCAACAGATGCAACGAGTCAGAAAATTAGAAGGCTTGTCTGAGCTTGTGTAAGCTCCAGCTCTGCCCGCTTTGGTCAACACGTGTCATCCCAACAGGATCAAAAGGCCTCATACAAGTTTTTCTTTGTGTGGGAGCTAAGAGCTCCAAAAAGCTGAGGAAACCTGGAGGCCCAGGATTGTGCCTAGTGCCATGCATCTTCAATGGCCATGAAGGAAGCAGGAACACTTTGTACTTACATGTGTTGGCTAAGGTCTGCCTGCCTGCCACCCAGAGCCATCAATGCCCGGGAACATCTGTCCCAGTGAGCAAATGATCATCCTTCCAGATGGATTCACTTAGCATTGAGTACATAAAAGGAAGCTGAATGAGCCGCCTACACACTGCCCATCCAATACTTTCCCTCTGTAGTCACTAAGGTCTTAAGGCACCTCAACTAAAATCTCCCAGGCATTAGGCCCAATGGGTACTAGATTAGAGTCCTTACAGTATTCCCTTAAGTTCCCAGTTCTCTCAGGAAAAAATATAGCTGCTCTCAGAGCTTGGCATCTAAGTCTAGACTACAGGTATGGAAAATGGAAAGATTTAGCTACAAATTCGAATGAGAAAGACAAGAAATTCCATCCAGGTAGTGCTGATAGTGCAATATGCATTCACACAAAATCTAGATTGGGAAGATCCAAAAAATGGAAAAAGGTTTGGAAAACCCATTTTAAATTGATTTGCAAATGTGCTCTAATGGATGGCCATATGTATGATGACTAGCCCATATGTTTTTTTTCTTTTCAAGTGCTCAGCTAAGTTGTATTTACAACTTCCATACTCCTCATTTTTCTTAAAGCTACTTAAGATTATTGGAGTTGACAACCTAAATGGGCCAGGGAGGTAATTTGGATCCTAAACTGTAACTGTTCAGACTTCATTAATATATTATGTTTAATATATTATTAAACATATTGATTTATCATATAATCATCACTCCTCCTACTTAATGCAAATAATGAAGTATACACTTCTCCAAGAGAAAATTAAAGGCAACTTGATGTTTTACACCCATGCAGAATGTAGTATTTACAGAGACAGCCTGTGTAGGGAGTATTATTGTTTTTCTGGAACACATAAAAGGAGGCTGACGATACTAATAACTGTAACTAATTAGCAAACTAACACCTTCATTGAGCTTAGTTCACATACCATACAACTGACCATTTGAAAGTGGACACTTCAGTGTTTTTCATTATATTCACAACATTATACACTCAATACCACAATCAATGGTAGAAGATTTTCCACATCCCACCAAATAAATCTGTGCCCATTAGAATTCACTCCTCATTTCTACTTCCCCCAGACCCTGGCAACTATTGATCTACTGTCTGTCTTTCTGGATTTGCTCATTCTAGACAACCTCATATAAGTGAAAGCATACAACACATGATCTCTTATGAATTTTTCTGTTCATTTAGCACACTTCAAGATGTACCCACACTGTGACATACATAATTACTTCTTCCTTCTTTGGTCAAATAATCATTGTATGGTTTATTTATTCATCTTTGGATGGAATTTGTGTTGTTTCTACCTTTGGCTAGAATTAAAGATGATGCTACAAGCATTTAAGTACAAGTGTTGAGGTGGATGTATATTTTTAATTTCTTAGAGTGAAATGTCTATATGATTGTAATACAGTGTTTATCAACCTTTTGAAACTGTTTCCCATTTAATATTCCCATCAGCAATGTGTGAGGTTTACCTAACTAATTTAAAGTCATTTCAGTCTAGGATTTGTTAAGCCTGTCACAGTATGGTTATGCTCCTGCCCAGAAGAAAAACATGGATCCTTGTAAAGTCTAAATCTACCTCAAATTTATACAAGAGTCAGCAGCTGGTAGCTCACGCCTATAATCCTATCTACTCAGGAGACTGAGATCTGAGGATCACAGTTCAAAGCCAGCCCAGGCAAGAAAGTCCATGAGACTCATCTCCAATAAACCACTCAGAAAATCGGAAGTGGTGGTGTGGCTCACGTGGACTTTAGCCCCAGCAGATCAAAACAATTGATTATGTAACCTAAAACAGTGAAAATAAGTAGGCTAATGTATTAGCATTTTTGTAATCTTCAGATAGCATACAGATACACACAGTCCAGTAAATGCTATCATTTGGAACATGGATTGGTCTACATCTTTGTTTTGCTCTAGAAAGCAGTAAAGAGCTATGAAATATACCTTTAAAAAAAATTAGGGGTTGTAAACGAGGACCTATAGACTCAACACAGTTAAACCCCTAAAGAGCCTCATCTTTTTTCCTGCTGAAAGCTGGAAAGAACAAATTAAGCAGTGGAGGGAGGGAGCTAATTTCCTTATAGAACATGGATGATGATCACAGAGGATACCGCTCGACAGATGTAGGGACCCAAGACTATAATATTCTCTTCCACTGAAGCCACAAAAGTCTTCGAAACTCATCATTATCTATATGAAAAATATTGTATAAGCCTTTGGCATAGCCATAATCTATTGGTTTTGCTGCCAAATAAAAACAGGTGCCAAATGGGGTTGCTAGCAATACCAAGGACCCAGTAGAATACCTTAAGGGTAAAATAGGGCAGAGCACTCTCATAATTAAAAAAAAAAAAACTCCACAAGTTTTCCAATCAGTGACATTAATCTTATTTTTTTTAAATGTGTCTTTCTCAAACCTGCAGCACATTAGGAAGGTTGCCATTTTATTTTTATTGCACTTTCTGGAATGATTTCTAAAATTACCATTATTTCAGGAGAGATTTTAAATGCACTAATCGGTACATTCTGAAAAGAGCTATTAACGAAGCTCTGAGAGCTCTAGTGAATACGGAGCAATCTAACCACCTTAGGAAACATTTTGAAAGCCAAGAGGAGAAAAAAGGGAATTTGGGTTGTTCGCAGGGGGATGGGAACATTTGCCTTCAATCTTTGGGACAACGTAAGGATGGATTCAATGGCCTAAACCAACAGTAGAGAGGATCTGTTACTGTGTTTACAATTATGATGCACTTCCGTTTTTATTCCAGGACAAACAGAAAAAAGTGAGAGAGGGAGAAAGAGAGGGAGAGGGAGAGGGAAAGGGGGGGGAGAGAGAGAGAGAGAGAGAGAGAGAGCACAGAGAAGTGGAGATTTAAATTCAGAAACAAGCGACAGAGAGGCCCCTAAGACAACACTTGAACACGTTGTTCTGGTCCATTACGGTTCTTTTCTCAGCTCCATCACCTAGCCCCTCCCTCCTTTTCTCCTTTCCCCACTCCTATTCTCCTCCTCTCCCATTCTGCTGCCTCTTTCTATCCTACACAGAGCCCTCAAATGACCACATATTCCATTTAGTAGGATTCTCTTAGAAATCACCCCTTCTTAGAATCCTGTTTCACTATCTGAAAATTCACTACTAAAGAATGCAGTTGTTCCCTTCCTATACTTGTTCTTTCCTGACTTGTACAAAACAAGGTCAATTTTGTGAAGAATCTATAAAGAGTTAGCTACCCATCTTCTTACCTCTACAGGTGTGAGCTCTAAGAAAAAACCTAAACAATAGATACCAAAATGGGGACAGGGTTACCTGTCTGGTGAGCTTATGATGGCTAACGTATCCCTCAATGTATTTTCAAGGTTTTCTAGAGCTCTCATAACTAAATACTACCAACTAGGAGGCTTAAGACAATACAAATGATTTGTTATACAGTTCTAGAGGCTAGAAGTCAGGAAGACCATGTTCTTTCCAAAGATTCTAGGGAATAATCCATCCTCACCTCTTTGGAGTCTGGCATTAGTCACCAATCACTTGGCACTCCTTGACTTGTAACTACTTCACTCTCATCTCTGCCTCCGTTGGCACACAGCATTCTCCCTGTAGGTTTTCTCTCCTTTCCTTCTTAAAATTCTAGTCATATGGGATGAAGGGGCAGCCCACTGCAGTTGAGACCTCGTTTAAACTAATTATATCTACAATGCCACTATGTTGAAATAAGGTTGAAGTACACAGGAAGTTAGGATTTCAACGTGTCTTTTGGGGGAAGGGGATATAATTCCCTCCTAACAAGGTACTCTTCAAGGTTAAAATGTACTCTTTCTCTGCTCATAGAAGAATCAAATGTCTATAGAGGCAGCTGCCAATCTTTATACCCTTTTCCTCTCTACTTCCAGAAAAGGAGGCAGAGGACAAAAACCCTGCAGCAGGGAGGTGGGAGCAGCAAAATTCCCAAGATGAACATCACCTGGCCCAATTTACCCTCTAGCTTATCCTTGGCCTGGGGAGGGAGGGGAAAGGGAGGACATGATTCATCTGGACTGCCTTTCCTGGCATAGCCAATTAGAAACAGCCTTCTGAGTATTCTACATTCCAGACTTTACCAAGTCAGTACTTCCAAACCATAAAGACATGCAACCAACTAGAACTGAGGTTTTACCTGAGGTTTCAGAATGGGATAAAGCAGGAAAGAAAACAACTTGGGTAGAAAAAAGGGAAAAAGCCTAAGAGTAACTCAGCTTGGTACCCAAAGGTTGTTAGTCTGATTCAGAGAAGGAGGGTACTGGTAAGAAGGCAGAGATGTCCAGTCATCTTTGAAAACAGCTCTTTAACCTCGTGTAATTACAACCTCCAGAATTTCTTCCTGCTTCTGTGTCCTTACTCATCCTACATCTTTGGCTGTCCCAGGGCTCTGTCATTGGCTCTCAGCTCTTGGCCCTCAGAAAATTCCTCCTTTACCTAGATTTCAACCACAGCTCCTCTGCAGAACATTCCGAGGTTTCTAACTCCCAACCTGTACTCATTGCCAACCTCAACCGCATGTCCTCCTGCTGCGCTCTAAGCCTAGTTATTGCTAATTTTATGTTCAAAACAGAACACCAACATGCCTTTTTTCTCACTCTATCCCAACCCAGATTGATTTTGTGCTGTCTTCTCTACTGTAGCCCTTGTATCTAATTAAGCAGCATGGCCTGATTTCCCTTGCCTTTCACATCGGCACTCTTTTCTATCCCCTTTTCTTAATTGTGGTTGGATGAGTGCAATGGATCTCAAACAATCCCTTGTCAGCATCACTGAAGCCTTGGTGGGAAGGAAGGTTCCTAGGCCTACTCTAGACCTACCATTTTCTTTGTAGCTTTTGTCTTTTTTTTTCAGAGCTAAGGACCAAACTCAGGGCTTTGCACTGGCTGCAAGTACTTGTCCAGTGAGCTAAATCCCCAACACCTAGACTGGACATTTTCATCAGAATTTGCTTGCACACGCCTTTTATGAAGTCCTAAGGCGACCTCCTAGGATATCACCCAAGCTTACCCTGATGTGTATACTATGCTGATTTACACACAAGCTTCATGATTGCCAGGTCTCTGCTTCAGTGCCACCAATGGCTGTCAACTTCCTGATTAATAAAGGTTAATCTCTTTTATGCAGCTTTGAAAGCTACTCCATCCAGCTCCATCTCTAGACTTGTTCTTACTAGACTTGAAAATACACGGCTGTTTGGCTGTAACAACAGTTATCTTTGTAATAAGCCTATCTCTGAATGTAACATTTACCCACAGTGAAAAGTGGCGACTTTACCTCTCCCCTCTAGAAACAAAAACAAAAACACCCTTAGCTGTAAAATAATTGTGCCAACGTTAACCATATTATCAATCATTTTCTATGATTGGCTTGATGCTTTAAAAACTTGTTTTAAAAAATGGATTCTTCCTGCCACTATGCTTTTCTATTGCTTCAAACTTGTGTTTACCACATAATGAGCTATTCTGCTCTTTGTGAGTCCAAATCATACTCGCCCAAGGAGTGAGTATGAGAAAAACGGAATAAATGAGTAAACGAAATGAGCACGCTTGCTTGCTCAACCAGAAATAAGGTATTTTAGGTGATGGAGGTGTGGATCAAATAGTAGAATATCAGCAGTAAGCAAGTGAGCCATATGAGGGAAAGGCCCTGAGTTCAAGCCCCAGTACCAGCCAAAAAAGAAAAGGAAAAAGAAAGAATGCATTTTGGCTTTTATTTCTTTATTCCCTTTTCTATAGCTATGTATTCCTAAATTAATAACTCTCCTATGACTTTAGAGTTCTGATGACAAGTGTTACTATCAGCCTACAAGGACACTGGAATTAATGATCTCTCCTCAAATGTTTGTACCATCTTCAGGATCTTTTCAGCCAGAGGCACATTCTGAACACTCACCAAGTGACAGTGACCTAATACACGGGGCTAGCAAATACACAAGGCTCTATACACTAGCAAAAGCACAACTGGGGAGGTTCAATCTCATGCCTGTAATTAACCTCTTCAAAATATAAGAGAGTTTTCTTGCAAAATGATTCAATCAGGGCCAGGGGCGACTAGCTTATATTTGTAATCTTAGCTATTTAGGAGGCTGAGCTCTACCGATCATGATTCAAAGCCTACTTAGCCAAGAAAGTCAAAGAGATGGCTCTGGCAGCAACAAACCACCAATAAGCCAGAAGTGAATATGTGGCTCAAATGCTAGAGCATCAGCCTTGAATGAAAAAGCTAAGGGGAAGTGCCCAGGCCCAGAGTTCAAGCTTAGTACTGGCATACATTAAAAAGAAAAACAAGGTTTAATGTTCAATCATAAACCCTAATCCCACCTAAATGCCGAATACCTAAGATGTCTTTTTTTTTTTGCCAGCCCTGAGGCTTGAACTCTGAGCTTTTTTGCTCCGGGCTAGCACCCTACCACTTGAGCCACAGCGCAACTTGAGCCACAGTGCAACTTCTGTTTTTTTCTGAGTAGTATATTGGAGATAACAGACTCACCGACTTTCCTATCCAGGCTGGCTTCGAACTACAACCCTCAGATCTCAGTCTCCTGAGTAGCTAAAATTATAGGCATGAGCCACCAGAGCCCAGTATAAGAAATCTTTTTTGTTCTTTTCAGTTGTGGGGCTTGAACTTGGGGCGTAGGTGCCGTCCTTGAGCTCCTTTTGCTCAAGGCTAGCACTCTACCACTTTGAGCCACAGCACCACTTCCAGTTTTCTGGTGGTTAATTGGAGATGAAGAGTTTCATGGACCTTCCTGCCCAGGCTGGCTTTGAACTGTAATCTTCAGATCTCAGTCTCTTGAGTAGTTAGGATTATAGGCACAGGCCACTGGTGCCTGGCTTAAAATACCCTTTTTATTTATTTATTTTTTAGCATTAAGGTTTTCCTATTTATAAGTAACTTTTAAACCTTCTATTTAATAAGTAATGCATTGGAAACTGAAGTTTTCACTGGAGAATAATCTGACAAAAGTCTCTCGTCTATAGAACTCTGCAGGTAAAGGTGGAAACATTTTGTAACAATCATGTAAAAGACCCTTACCAGTAACCTGCGGACATCTTTTTACTAGCTCCCCCATGAACACTCCTCAAAATCCGCCCCAACCCCCACCCCCAGGCCTCTCCTCGCCTCTCCTAAGCATGTTAAGCCATCCTCTCCCGGCGCTTGGATTTCATAGCTCCTCCAACTCACCCCCCATCAATGGACTTGTGAAGAGTATGGTGTCAGAAGCACTTCCAGGTCTCAGGGTCCTGCCGCCGCTCCTGCCCCTTTGTTGGTCATCCATGATGCTTTCCCTACTGAACTTTAAACTTCTAAACTCGGTGGTTCAGAAAAGTTCAAATTCCATGTCCCCTTCTGTGTGCTCCTGAGAATTGTGAATGTTGTAGCCGGCTGGACTATACACGTCCTGGGCAGGCAGGCGATCTGGAACAGAGAACAGTACAGGCAGGGTAATCTGAGTACCACCTGTGGTCAGTCAGGCACACACGCGCACACACATCCAAGCACACTACCTAGCTGGCTGGAGGCAAGCCAGAGCCCACAATAGCCCCTCCCCAAGCCCAAACTCTGCAAAATTGCTGATGTCACGTCCTTTCCCAAACTGAGACCAATCAGGGAGGAAACCTTGGAGTTTATCAGGAAGGAAACTCACACTTTGTAACTTGTAGAAGCAAGGGAGCAGAGTGGCAGAAGGAAAAAAAAGCCAAACAGCTCATTTGTTTCAAAGTTTCATATGCTGCTCAGAGCAATTTGCTACTTGGGGCCTTCTTGGTATTGAAACAAGACCCCCATCTCCGGAGTTGAAAAGCAAGGAAACCGATTTGGTTGCAGCCTTTGCTGATTTGACTTGCACAGTTCCATGTACAAGGCACCCTGACCATCTGCACACGTGGTTTCAATTTTGCTGGGAGTCTCTAATGGAAAAATGTGTCTATATGTTACAAAAAATGCAAGGGTGGGGGTGGGGTGGAGAGGGCTTCTGTTTTCTTCCTTTGAACGGTAAGCATTTCATTAAATGTCCTAATCCATTCTTCCTCCACACTTTTTTTTCTTGTTTCTAACTAAAGAATGAGTGATTACAATTGGTCAAAAGAGATCTGCCATCTTTCAATCAATTGTAAATGCTGTTTTGTTTAGGTTTCATCCATTTGCCTAAACAAAAATATCTGGCCTTTCTCTATATGTGACTTATTTCCAAGTTTTATGGTTGTTCAATCTGAACATACTTCATTTAACCTGTCATATACAAACTACTACCATTTGGTATTGTAATCGATAGAAAAACATTGTTAATATAGTATTTTGCCATTTTCTGTGTGTCTTTTTTTTTGTTGGTGGTGATGGGGCTTGAACTCTGGGCCTGGGCTCTGTCCCCCAGCTCTTCAGCTCAAGGCTAGCACTCTACCACTTGAGCCACAGCACCACTTCTGGTTTTTTCTGTTTATGTGGTGCTGAGGAATCGAACCCAGGGCCTTATGCATGCAAGGCAAGCGCTCTACCACTGAGCCACCTTCCCAGCCCCTCTGATTCTCTTTTATCCTTCTAGCACATTGTAATTTGGACATTTCACCTACTCAGTGTGCTTAACAGAGCAGGTGTAGAACTCTTTTCTTGAGTGGCTCACTTCATGACATTTGCTAATATCTGGAAGGTTTCTTCTTTAACTTTCCAATTTCTATTTTCTACTGAGGCAGGATAGACATGGGAATGTGAGGCATGAGAACCAGCATCCTTGGATTCAGAGTTAATCACTGCTGGATTAGAAGCACACAAAGTGTTATTTTGCCTCAAACTTTACAGCCTATCAGTAAAGTGTAACATCGCGTAAAAAGAAATCGAAAGCAGAGCTCTCTCCCAACAGATCTTGCCTTTGTGGCCAGCTGCAAAGTACAGAGATACATATTCTGGGGAAAATAACTCCTTTGGGTACAAAACGTGTTTGTGAAGAAAAAATATTTATCTCAAGAATAGACAATTGTCTTGTAAAGTGTGGGAGACAGAATCCATACTTTGAAGAAAGGTTCAGACAGCAGTGATTCAAATTTGGAGAACAAAAAAACCCAGCTACAACAATGACCTATGTTAAGCAGGCTAAACAGATACCTTGAGGTCTCTATAGCCAGTTGACAAAAATGTCTCCACAAGGATGACACCAAGATCCCCGCCTCCTAGCCCTTCTAGCCCCTCCTAAGCCTCCTAGGTTATATCAGTCACGTCAGACAATAGCTGGTGCTTCTCACTTCTCCCTGCAAGCAGGGGTCTTGCCAGTCCCTTTGCAGGCAATAAACCCTTGCTTTGTTCTCTGTACCTGGATGTCTGCGTGGTTTTCTGGCAAAGTCTAATATACTCTGCAGCTATGTTCCTTTCTTTATTCACTAGTACACTCTGTACTGTGCAAGTACAGATGCAGTAGTGAATTTCCTTATTCTCTCAATGATGCAACCTGAATATCATCATTTTTTACTACTATAAAACTACCATAGTCCATACTTCTTTAAGTAATGGGACAAAGGAGTTTCAATTCAACACATCAGATTATAAACGCAATACATCTTGACCAATGTCACCCCTTCCATCATTCTCCCTCATTTTTTCCCAGTCCAGTCCATACTTTTGTACATGTGGCTTGGTGCATATATGCAAATACTTCTAAAGGAGAGATTCCTAAGAGTGAAAATCCTGAATCAAAGATGTGCTTTTATTGCCAGGTGCCTGTGGCTCACACCAGTAATCCTAGCCATGCAGGACACTGAGATCTGGGGAGCATAGTTCAAAGCCAGCCTGGGTAGGAAGGTCTATGAGACTCTTATCTCTAATTAACCTCTGGAAAATCAGAAGTGGCGCTGTGGTTCAAAGGTAGAGTGCTAGTCTGAGCAAAACAACTCAAGGACAGCGCCTATACCCTGAGTTCAAGCCTCACGACTGACAAAAAAAATACTTTTATATGAGTAATAAATTGTATAGAACTAAACTCACAAGTTTAAGGAAAACAGAAATTCTGAAGATCACTGATTATATGAATGTTGATTTCTGCTTGCAATATTGTACTACAGATTTGCAGAAGCTTACCATTGAGATAAACAGAGTTAAGTGTTCAAGAGGGCACTCTTTATTTTTGTTTAGACCTGCATGTAAGCCTTTAATTATCTCAATACAATTTTAATTTGAAAAAGAGGCTTCTCATTTAAAATGGGGATAAATACTGCCAAATTGCTCATCATCTCTGTTTGAAGAATTAACTGAGAAGGTCATAGTATAAAAATTCTTCATTAATCTATCAGGAGAGACTCACAGAAGGATAAACATATTTGGCTGAGAGTGAGACAATCTCTCTGAACATAGACTGGACGAGAAAGAATTAAGCAGAGAGGAGCCCGATGGAAAGTTACTAATGTTTACTCCAGGTAATGTCTTCTCAGTACAACTTCTCTATTTACTTTCCACTCAATTCCAAAACGTGAGAATTTTCTACATTCAAATTTAAGTTCCCAAATGACAATAGAGAGTATTTCTGGCTTTTTGCCCTAGTACCTAGGAAGGAACTCATCAGCTTTTAATTTTCTCATTATATTTATAGCATGGGTGACCTACCAATTAATAAATCTTATGGGAACTAGATTTTAGGTGGTGCAAGCAGTGGGGCTTGAACTCAGGTTCTGGGCACTGTTCCTGAATGTTTTGCTCAAGGCTGGCACTCAATCACTTGAACCGCAGTTCCACTTTCAGCTTTTTGCTGATGAAGTAGAGATAAGAGTCACACAGACTCTCCTGTTCAGGCTGTCTTCAAACTTTGGTCATCAGATCTCAGCCTCCTGAGTAGCTAGGATTTGGTGTGTCACCAAGTCCATCTGGAAGCTGGCTGTTATTTTTTAACTTTAACAATCGTTTTTGGTTTGGTTTGGTTTTTTCAGAGCTGAGGAACGAATTCAGGATCTTGCACTTTCTAGGCAAGGGCTCTTCTACTCAGCTAATTCCCCAACCTCAACAACAGTTCTTTACAACAAAGGTCATGAATTTTTAAATATTAGCATGAGGAGAAAATTGAACTATGTGGATATGAGCTGTGATTATAGAGAAATAAGGTCTCTGACTACAAGGTATAAGAAAATAGAACTATTACTAACTTCTAGTAAGGCTTAGTTGCCTATTGCGTGTGTCTCTGTGGTCACCAAAAATGGCTCAGGTTTGAGAAGAAAAAAAGAAAAGAATGATGGCAAAGCCACAATCATTAGTTCCAGGGCAATGTGAGCAAGAGCCTATACCTCTGTCCTATCCTCACTTAGCTGCCCAAGTAACACCTCACTCATGGATTATAACTCTGTTCGTGAGGCCTTGGGAACCTTGAAAGTCATTTCCAATTAGTCAAAGTTGGTCCAAGAGCTGAAACCTCTTATTATTCCACCCAGCAATTTCCCTAGGACAAAACACATCCCTGATAATTTGGGTTTCTCTGTATTTCATGTGTTGTTCTGGCAGAACTGCTTCTGCTTGCTGAACTATCTGATGCCCCTTTAGAGAGCAACCACGCATTCCTACTGCATGGAGAAGAACAAGAAGATACAAATAAGAATTCAGAAAAACCTGACATAAACAGAGGAGAAAAGAGGTGACTCAAAATGAAGATATAGCTAGGCATAGTCTTGTAATCCTACTCAGAAAGCTGAAATCTGAGGATCAAAGTTTGAAGCTAGCCTGGGCAAGAAAGTCTGTGAAACTCTTATCTCTAATCAACCACCAAAAAGTTGGAAGCGGAGCTGTAGCTCAAGTAGAACACCAGCCTTGGGAAAAGATGCTCAGGGAAAGTTTCCTGGCCCTGAGTTCAAGCCCTACTACACACACACACACACACACACACACACACACACACACACAGAGCACACACACACACACACACACAGAGCACACACACACACACACAGAGCACACACACACACACACAGAGCACACACACACACACACACACACACACACACACAGAGCACACACAAAACT